AACCGAGCATCGGTGGAGTGTGGATTCCCAGTAACACATGTAAACCACTTCTACTAGATTCTTAAATGGCTCAAATAAATTCGACATGCCAAGGGATAAACTGAATAGATCACTCGATCAGCCATAAAAGACCTTTAGACTGCTCCTTTCTTTAAATTTATGGTTGTAAATTTAACCTACTTCCGTGACCTACTTTCCTACCCCATTGACATACAGCTTAGAATGCCAGCAGAAAAATCTGTTCGAACATCATTTTCGGGTAAAATTAAACAATGCCTTTTGGTAATTCTCTTAGTTATACTACTTGAAACTATATGCTGGCATTTGGTTAGTTTTTGTGACAAAAAATTGACTTTGTATGTATCTTTAAAAGACATACATAACCTTTCTGTGTGTTATAGTAGTAGACATAAAGATAAATATTCAGTTTCCCCTTCGTCTATTTGCAACAATTGACAATTGACCCAGTATCGTGGACACACACACACACACACACACACACACACACACACATTTATCCGGAAGTACATTTTTTCTGCATTTTCTTGTTAAAAAGAAGAGCGCGTGTTGCTGGTAGCTTTATATAATCGGTGAGTTGAATAATAGATAAATTATTCGACAAGAACTACATGTAAGAGATCCAATTCAGATGCTTCGTAGCTTCCGGTGCAAAATTAGCAGGAGTGCCTGTACCAGTACGCACACTGTAGAAACCACCGACTTGGAAGAAGCTGTCCCGCAATGTATTTAAGACTGGGTTCCCATGCCCACATAGCTCCAACGGGATCGGTCTAGTTCCACGGGGATTCACGCTTAATTGCTATCAACTTTAGCGGCTAAAATGTCTGTCACGCCGAATCAGCTAGGGGGGTAATTAACTTTCATGCATGCTCGGCCTCTGGTAGTTAATTTCCCGGTTTTAGTAGAGGTGACAGACATTTAAGCTGCTTAAGTTGATCGCAACTTAGTGAGAATCCCCATGGAGATAGATCGATCCAATGTTCGTACGATATCTCTGGGAATTGGTCTCTATAATCCCTAAATGAATACCTCTTATAAAAATAAACGGAGTTCAGTGTCACTGTGCCTCCAGGTCAGATACACTTGATGTTTGTGTCAGAGGTGTAGAGGAGACCAAGGGCACCCTTTCCCTCTATCCTGACCCGTCTAAGGTTGCCACATATTCTTATCATTCCAAGAGCTTGGCGAAATACACGAAGTTCTTCAAAGAAATCTTGTCCTTGTTGGTTTAGAGTTGCTTTGAATTTCGACAGAAAATGGTGATACAGATAATAGTCTGCTTTGCTCCACTTTTTATGTTGTAATTGAAACGATGAGTTTGCAACTACCTTTGGGTCAAACATATACTGCTTAACATGCAAGGGCAAGTACAACACATATTCCATTTTCCAGCATAAAAGTCGCCTCAAGTAAATCAAACTTTCGTCAAAATACTCCGTAACGATCACAAAATCAAACTTGGAATCAAGATAATCAACGTAATGTTGAATGGCAGTTTCATTATTCCTCAAATCATCTCTCTCTTCTGGAAACCCAAACTCGAACATCATGCTGTTTCTAGCGAAGGCCGTCAGATCTTTAACCCGTACGTGGCGATTCCAGTGTGTTTGTGGGGCTCTGAGAAATTCGTCGATTGGGACGTGGAATTTATTCCACAAGGAGAATGCGTTATAGGCACTCTTGAACTGAGAAAAAGGTTCTCGGACTGCCCCGACATAAAACGAATCTGACGGCATCATACTACTGACGACGTCGTAGTCAAATACCATGTGATCGACAATCATATCGTA